GGGGGATGGATGGTTGAAGAGCGAATAAATTCGCACTTGCAAACGAGCATTTCCATTATGAAACTGGGGCTTGTGGACTAAAGAGTCAAAAATTTCGGGGGATGATTGGTTGAAGAGCGAATAAATTCGTACTTGCAGACGAACATTTTCACTATGAAACTGGGACTTTTGGACTGTAGAGTAAGAAATTTAGGGGGATGGTTGATTGAAGAGCGAATAAATTCGCACTTGCAAACGAGCATTTTCATTACGAAACTGGGGGTACAAGTGCGAGTTAATTCTGACCTATGGACTAAACATTGACAAATTAAGGGTTTGGTTGGTTCAAGAGCGAATGAATTCGCACTTGTAAACGAGCATTTCCATTACGAAACTGCGGGTACAAGTGGAAGTTATTTCCGGCTTGTTCTGCGTGTAGTACGAGCCACAGATCGTCACAAGAGAGAAATAGGGAAAGATGGCGTGCTATTTTTTAAGATGGAGAAAGATTGCGAAGCGATGGGCAGACGACGCATCGATGAAAATACATGGAGAGAGATGGCGCACCGAATGAGAGAGATGACGCACCAAGAGAGATGGATGGAGTCACAGTCTTCCCCCGAATACAGCGTCTGGTTATTACAGCTGAATTCGGGTAATCTTTCAGTCTAAAGATAACTGTAATGAAAGTGCGTTGTATATTCCGGGGAGGAAGGTGGATGGCGCAGGAAGGGAAAGAGATCGCGAACTGATTGGGAGGTGTGCCGCAGCGAGAGAGAGAGATTGCGCACCGATGGAGAAACATGGCGCATCAATGAAGATAGAAGGCGCCGCGATGGTTAGCGATAGCACAGCAATGGAGAAAGATGGCGCACCGAAGCAGATAGATGACGATGAAGATAGATTGGGAAAAATAGCGCAGCGATGGAGATAGATGACGAAGGAGATAGATTAGGAAAGATAGCGTACCGAAGGAGATAGATGACGAAGGAGATAGATTAGGAAAGATACCGCAGCGATGGGGATAGATGACGAAAGGTCGGTAGAGATCGCGCATCGATGGAGAGAGATGCAGAGAGGACGCGCAACAATTGTTAGCGATGCCGCAGCGATGGAGAGAGAAGGCACAGCGATGACCAAGATTTGTTATTGCAAAACATCAGTTCCATCGAGTTAAACCTTCGTTAAGCATACCTGTCACCTGTTTTATGCGATTCCACAGTGATGGACGGCTGCACCGACGACGGCCTGAAACAACAATACAATGGCGATGGCAAGATCGCGCACGAGTAATGGAGAGCCTCTGGGGCAAGGATGGAGGTTGCCTGGTTGTCGAGAGAGATCGTGCAGTAATGGAGTGAGATGGAGAGTGATCACTCAGCGATGGAGGGAGATCGTGCGGCAATGGAGAGAGAAATCGCGCAGCACTGCGGTGGGATAACACTGGTCAGGGCTTCGATAGCGATGGCCAGCGCTGTGGTGGAGAGCGATGGCGCACCGGTGGAGAGCGATGGCGCGGCGATGAAACGCGTTACAATGCAGTGATAGCGATAGCGATGGCAGCGATGGAACAGCTATAGCGATTGCACAGCGATGACGCACCGGTGGAGAGCGATGGCGCAGCAGTGGAGAGCGATGGCACATCGATAGCGATGGCGCAGCGATGGAACAGCGATAGCGAAGGCAGCGATAGCGATGGCAGCGATAGCGATGGCGCACCGATTGAAAGATGGCGCAGCGATGGAACCAACGTTGCAATGGCAGCTATGGTAACAGCATTGCGATGGTGCAACGATGGCAAGCGCTGCGATGAGAGCGATGGTGATTGTCAGGGCTGCGATGGTTAGGCGAGCTTGACAGCTGCGATGGGGGATATAGCTTTGCGTCGCGATGGCGATGACCTAAGCGCATCGATGGCGATGGTGCATGGCGAGCGTTGGCGATGACGATGAGCTAAGCGCATCGATATCGAACGCCGTTGACATTTCCAAAATGTTTGAATGACAGCGACACCGGAACTTATAGATTTCCGGTGTTTTTTACCTCGACGCACAACGAATTGCCGCGCCTCGGCGACAAATAAACCGTCGCCTAGCCTCAGCGCGCAACGAACCGCCTCGGCGCACAACGAATCGCCGTACCTCAGAGATTCTTGCGCCTGACCTCGTGCGTCGGATCATGTCGATCAACGGTCCAGATTACAACTGCGAAAATGACATTGCCTACCCCTTGTTTTCGGGAACTGTCACATCATTGCACGCTGGAGTAGACGAAGATTTTGGGGCCACTGGGATAACAGTCGCTCCGTTCATCTGCGCGGTTGAAAATTGTTGATCGACGGCTGACAATTTTCGGTGCCCCTTATCGTTTATAGGCCCTGGTGTTTTATGGGCCCAGGGGTGCGATACACGAATCGATTCGGCCCCACCTTGATGGCGGTTTATGGGCTTAGGGGTGCGATATGCGAATCGATTCGGCCCCACCTTGATCCCGACGCGAGGCCTGCTGCAACAAGTATAAAAGGCGTTGCAGCCCTCGAGTTATCCCTTTTGTTGGGGCTCCACAGATCAAGTCGCGCTATCGCTTCCGCGCGCGTTCTGGTATTTGGTCTTCAGCCCCCCCCACCTTTCGCCATAGCCCGCTCACTCTTCGCTCTTCGCTCTTCGCTCCGTCCGCAGTTGCCACATTGTGTTTAGTTCGCTCTTCGCTCCTCGGTCTTCGCTCTTCCTAGCTCGATATCCGTCCACCATAGCTGGTTCGGTGGTTGGTTGCTCGCTCAACGCACGATGAAGGTAAAATCATGTAACTTGAGTTGTCCTATTCTGTGTCCGATGTCCGAACACATTCCCAGAGGCCCTGTCTGTACCTGCAGGATATAACGCCGCAGCCGCGTTGTAGTGAACCCCGAATCAATTCCCGGTTTTGTTGTTTCGCCAGTGGACGTGCTCTGATCTCTTTTCTCCATCCTCCACCTCCGTTTGCCATAGCCGATCCCCTTTCCGCAGCTCGATTACCTTTCGCCATACCCACGATAACGTTCGTATAAAGCTGCTCGATCCCCTTCGCAAGTTGCAGTCGTCGCTGCGCATGGCGAACCCCGAATCAATACCTAGTTGCTACACTGAACACCGAATCCATTCCCGATTTTCGCTCACCTGTCCCTTGTGAGGTCACCGACGTGATATCTACATATATATATATAAAGATATAGATACATATATGTATATAAAGAGATATATTGCTACATTGAACACCGAATCAATTCCCGATTTTTGCTCACCTGTCCCTCGTGAGGTCGCTGACCTGATATATATATATATATATATATATAGATACATATATATAGAGAGAGAGATATTGTGAGTCAGTTCGCAGTTTGCGACATACAATGTTCGACGAGTGACAACTGCGAGGTTATTTGCAGTTTTCCCAAGGTTAGACACATATTTCATTAAAGGCAGTTCTTTATTTCCACAAATGCGAGTTAGTTCGCACTTTTTGAGCAACAATGCTGGAGAGTTGACAACCCAACCCGTGCGGCTTTCATGTCTTCAGTTCCACAATTCCGAGTTAGTTCGTACTTTCCCCTAGTGCTGCGCATCGCCATTATTGTCTTGTCTACAGAACTGCGAGTTAGTTCGCACTTGTCAAAACCCTTCGCAATTGTCGATAAACCAGAACTTCAGTTCCACAATTCGGAGTCAGTTCGTACTTTCCCGTTGTACTTCGGGTTGCAATTGTTCTCATTTGTCGATTCGCACTTGTCGATAAACCACATCTTACTTGTTTCGTGCGACTTTCAGATCTTCAGTTCCACAATTCCGAGTTAGTTCGCACTTTTTCCTAGTGCAACGGGTTGACATTGTTGTCTTGTCTACAGAACTGCGAGTTAGTTCGCACTTGTCGACACCCTTCGCACTTGTCGATAAACCACATCTTACTCGTTTCGAGGGCATCTAGTTGGGTCGCAATCTTTCCGAACAGTTATCGTCTTCCCTCCGAACTTCTGTCTTTCCTATCCTTCACCCGATTGTTGTGACTTCGTGTGCATTTCGAACACCCATCTCTTACGTCCTTTTCGTCCTCCATTTCGTTAAGTCCGAGTTAGTTCGCACTTCGCTTATGTAGTGGTCTGGGGTTGGGCGTATTAGTCATCCGAGTTGGTATGAGGTTGGGCGTGCTAGTCAACGGTTGGGAATACAATGGTGTCCGCAAAGAACACATCCACAAGCGCTTGACCATCTGCCCCCGGGGAGGGATGACCTGTAGAGCAACCTACTCCTCAGTATGTGCACGCAAACGGAGCACAATGGTTTTTGGACTTCGTTGTTCAGGGGGACCTTTTTGGGCCAGCTATTTTCATGCGACCCACTTGCGTTACAGACACTCGGGGAGCGGTCAACGTTGTTCCTCTCGGTACCGTCGTCTCGTGCGTGAAGACTTCTGGAGGTTTGCTCAAGCTGCACACTAACGGCATGTACGACGAGTGCAGATTGCCTATCAGAGGTGTTGAAGGTGTGCTGGTGACCATCAAGAGTTTCGCGGGGTACGACTCGAACATGTCGTTGTGCTCTCACTTCAAAGGCCTTTACGATGGCGGCAGCAAGCATCTTCCATCGCCAGAGCAATATCTCGATCTGATGGTGCCGAGAGAACGTCCGGTTCTTCCGCTTGAGCATGTTTTCCAGCTTCTGCCACCCCGAGACGGGTCGTCCGGCTTGGCTCAAGAAACTCCGGGTACGACAGTGGGGCGCGGGAGTCCGATTCAAGACGCTGGGGGTCGGGTCAAGGGACGCAGCGTTCACACGCAGGTCGGCTCGAATGCTCCTAGGAACACGTCAGACTTGCATTCTCTGGGTACAGTGACTCAACGGGTCGATACTCCGAAACTTATCAAGGTCCGCTGCGGCGCCGACACGTATTCGCTTCGAGATGAGACGAGAAGAGATTCAAGCAGATCGGGGCTAGATGTTGGAGGGAATGAGGCTGAMGGGATGGGCGYTGTYCGCRRAAGCTCTRGYGGGGAGCAGACTCCTTCGGAGAAGAAGAGCGAGCGACAGAGGATGGTGCGAGAGGAGGTGGCGGAAGGAACCCTCCGCATGAAGAGGATGAGAGGAAAACCGAAGGCGGTGTTGGGCGGGGATGGAGGTGGCGACGGAGAACGTGCCTCGGGAAAGAGGCCGACGAAGGAAGAGGGTGGGACGACAAGTAAGAAAGCGAGGAGGCCTGACGGTTTGACCATCTGCGAAGGACAAGCCGCAGGTGGAGGAGATTCGACTGATCCAGGCGCTGCGCCCCTAGAGAACCTTCGGGGAAATCAAAACAGAAAGTGGCAGCTGAAGAAGGCGATGGCGAGAAGAAAACTCGAAGGCAGAAGACTGCTGAGGCGGCGAGGAGTGGCGAAGGGCCTGTCGGTAAGGAGTACGACGAAGCTGCAACGTTCTGGCTTGAATATGAGCGGAACGATGTCAGTGAAATCGTGGAGAAGGAGCTCCCCGTCCAACTGCTCATCGACCCCAGGAAGGTGTGCGAGATCCCGACTTGGGAAAGATATTACAACCACCGCAGTCTAAGTCGCGAAACTGTGGACGACATCAAGGGTACGATGCTGAGTCAATTCTGTGAGAAAAAGGGGAAGATCTGGACGAAAAACCCTCTGGTTTTGACACCCATCTACAAGTCGGTGATGCACCGAAGAAAGCTGGCAGGGTTCACAAGGATGTCTTCAAGCCAGAGGACAAGGACAAGGACTACTATTACACTGTTAACGGACAACACACCGTGGCTGCTGTGAAGGAGTTGGAGGGTGAGCCAATATTCAATTTGTGGAAGATGCACTCATGGCCGGCGAGAGTAGTGTGGTTCTCCGACCGAGATTTCGCGGGGTATAGGCAGGTCAGTCTCAACGAGAACAGGAGACACAAGATGTCTAAGCAGCGATCGCAGAAGACCGCGTTTTTGGACATGCGGGAGGCATGGGAGAATAAAGGAAGGCCAGTGGCCATTCAAGGGAACCCTTTTGGCAAGGAGGCCGAAAAACAAAAAATTTTCGATTAATTGCTGATTTTGGGAAAGAGTCCGAACGGAGCTCACTGGACGTTGGCACAAAAAGATTCGTCGCTCTCCGACAAGGAGTATGTCGCTGCAGTTGGCAATGCATTGAGGCAGTGGATGCCGCTCGTGACGGCCGGTGACGACGTTTTCCGCAAAGCCATGGAATTCTACGCGAAATGGGCGGAGGGGAAGTTGTTGGGCGGCGACGGCAAGACGCCATTGTCGGGGCCGGGCAAATACATGCCACGCAAATCTCCGGGTCTGCAAGCAATTCTGGAAATAGGCTCGAAAGGGGCGGCTGGTGAAACGAAGATGGGGTAGCTGGTCCGGGTCCCGCCGCCTCCGACCAAAAAGAAAACGCAAGCAGACGACAAGTTTTTCGTGGTCGTGAAGGAGACAGACATGTTTTGTTGGCAGTGTCTCGCCGACATGACCGATGCCGAGAAACTGTCTTTGGCGCCACGGGAGCCCTTTTTTTCGGACCGAGGGGAAGCTTCTGGAGAAGTACGGGTTGCAGGGCCTCACGAAACAGGTGTGGGTCGAAATGCAAAAGCATTTCCAGGGCGCGGTGGAGTACGTGAACACTTGCAAACGTACTCTTCTGCACGAGAAGGAGTCCCTCGACGACGTAAAAAAATTGTACGATGATGACAGGTTCCCTAAATCTTTCGAAAAGTCTGTCCGTTCCATCTTGCGACGGACAGAAGAAGAAGTTCGAGACATGATCAGGGTCAGCGGGGATGTGAGATACATCAAATGGCCCGACTTCAACCGGGTGACCATCCTTATTCTTTTCGCTTTCCCGCCTTCCCAAGCTCACAGTCATGTCACTGCGATCCGTGAGGTTGTGCGACATTACGTGTGCAACCTGTACGTCCTCGATTTGTGTGATCCCTCACTCCTCACAGACTGGCGAGAAGACGATTTCGCCAACTCGCAAGGCCTTCTACAAACACTTTCGCCAACGCACTGGGCACTTGTGATTTTTTTCCCCTCTCGTTGGGAGCTCAGTTTCTTGAAAGGCATGGCCAGGCTTAGCGTCCATCACGTCAGGACAGGGAAGTAGGTACGTAATGCACAAAAGCAGGTCACTGTCCGGAAAGGCAATATGCTGGTTGAGGAGTGTGACCGCCTGTACGTGATTTTTAATGGCGAGAAGCTGGAAGACAACACATTCGCAGTCTACCCGGTCAGTAGCCCGACAAAGGCTTCCCGTGCTTATGGTCCAAGTCCGGCCAAACACACGGTGGCGGGCCGCTCGAAAGTTGTCTGTTCGTCAGACCCATCAGGACAGGCTGTGGCGTGTTTCGATGTGGCGGAAGAGGAAAGGTTCTCTCGTAGCATGTGGGAGGACGACGGCGTGACAAGTTCTCAAGGACCTGCTTACAGAGAGATGGAGCGGAACCCGTCCCGTCTACTTGGTCTACTCGTAAACTTTTGCAAAGCTGGCCAAACTGTTTTTTTCTTTGGGAAGGCGCATGCGTCTATCGTGTGGGAACATATGTGCATCGGTCGGAACGTCGTCGCGTTGGAGAAGGAGGCGGAGATGATCGATAAGCTTCACGAGTTCGTGAAGGCACGCGTTGCAGACACGTGCAATGCTTGCGAGTTTGCCCGCACCACCGGCGAAAGAAACTGGGACCCCAAACGTGACATGTATTGGAAATTGTCGGGGAACAAAAAGACGGACGTTTGGGACTTCCTTTTCGGACCCGAACCGCCTGGTCCGACCGACCTCGAATACAGTCGACGGAGAAACCTGGTGTTCGCTGTGCTCAATGGGTACGACGGTGCACCCAGGGAGTCTGTCTTGCACTTCCTGAGAAGGCTGGAGCACGTTTACTTCATGCTGGCCGAACCGCTCACTCTCGAAAACTACAAGTCACAGTTTGACGAGGAGGACCCTTTCGACGCTGATGACATGGAGGAGCTGAGGGACTCCGAAACCTTCGATTTCAAGTCCATGCCACTTCCTCGGGTGGTTGGACAGGTTGGCGATGAAGAGGAAGGTGGCCCTCGGAGATATAGCACGTCCCCTGCTGGTTTGAAGCGTGTGTTTTGGGGCGAACCAGTCAACGACCAATCGTCTGATGACGGGGAGGAAGAGAGAGACTATGATCACGAACCTTGTGACAAGCTCCCTGTGGACCATGACACCTGGCAGAATGACAGGCTCTTCTTCTTCGGCAAGCATCACCGGTTTACGTCGGAGGATGTCTGGGGACACAAAGTCGTCTGGCACCCGAGGATATTCCAACCTGCTGTGAGGAATGGAATATGGGTCATGGCAATAAAGGAGGCCGATGGCAAGTGGAGTGGACTGAAGAGACTGGGAGCGGGTGCATTTAAGAGAAAGGCAAGAACTGCTCTGGTGAAGCATTTGAGTCTCATGAACCCCGAGAGGAACGATCAGGACGTCGATGAGTATGCTGAACAAAAGCTACATGAGTTGTACGCCAACAACATATTGCAGTTTTGAGCGTCTTTCTACGCACTCGAAACGACACCGTCTCGTGGCATTGACTGGCGCATGCCGCAACCTCCGTCGGTCGGTCAGCATCCGGGAGGGGGTGGTGGAGGAGACGAAGGAGACGGCGGAGGTGGCGGAGGAGACGGCTCACAGTTTGCCGGAAAGGGGACGGGCGAGACATCGTCGGTTGAGAAGGCGTCCGGCGGAAAGGAGTCGGGCGGGAAGAGGTCGGGCGGGAAGGGGTCGGGCGGAAAGCGTAGAACGTCTGGGAGTCCCCAGTATATGGAAACTGACACCCACTGCGTAGGGAGTCGAGATTCCGACATGCGAGACGAGGCCACCATGACGTCTGATCAAGTGCGAGTATATTCGCACTTATCTGCGAGGAGTTTGTTTCCCGTTGCCCAGGAGAGTCCATCCCGCCGTGCGCAGCAGAGGTCTCATGTGCTCAACACCTTGCTCCTGAAAGAGGGCACGTCTTCATTTTGCCTGGAGGGCGGGATGCCTGCATTGCGAAGGAGYGAAGGTGYRACCTCCGGTTCCCTCGGCTMGRGCGACCACCACAAACTCCGAATACATTCGGATTTGCTGCCGTCGCCCTACGCCATAAGTGCTCCTCACACAATAGTTCCGCGGGGCCAAGAAAATGTGACGTCCTGGCCCACGCATCTTCAGTTGGACACAGGATTACCCTGCTCGCCTCCTTTCTCATGTGTTGAGACTCGAGACTGGCGGTCTCGCGACGTGCTGGAGGGGCCCGCTCCAGGAGTGTTGCAGACCGGGGGTATCCAGAACGAACGTCACACTCCTGGGGAAGACGAGCGCTCTCCGGGAACGAGTGTTGTACCGGGAAGAGGAGACTCAACGCTGGCAGTCTCGCAAAGTGTTGGAGACCGGGGGTAGCGAGTGTGAACGTCATGCTTCGGAGGGTGCGTCCGTGGACACTGACAGCGAGAGTGCGGGAGCTCCGGGGGAAACGCATGCTGTACAGCGGGGAGAGGAGACTCGACACGGGCCGGCTCGTGAAGATGTGAAGTGGCTCCACGCACGAGCGTTGGTGATCGGGACGTCCGAAGAGGTTCTGCACAGTCGCTCGGCTGTGGTCACGATGCGAGAGGGTGTCGTTCAGGGAGGTAAGTGGACGTCCGTGCAAACTCTCGTTCTTGGCGACGATGAAGACGAAGAAGAACCCGCGGTGGAAGCTCGGGTTCATGGCGATGAGAAAGGCGGAGAACCCGTGGTGGAAGGCGGTGAGGTGACTGTCGACATCCGGACGGATCCACAACGGAAAGATGATGATTCTTCGCCCACCCGTTGCGGTGAAGAACACGTTGGTCGAGCGTCTGTCCTGAACACCGCTCGGGGAATGGTGCTTCATGAAGCCATAGAACTGGGTGACGACTTGGCAGCCACCGAGCTGGTTAGCGACTCAGGCGTGGCCGAGATGCAGAATGTCGAATCCTCTGTGGAAGGCGGTGAGGTGGCCGTCAGCATCAAGATGGATCCAGAGCGGAAAGATCATGATTCTCCGTCCACCCGTTGCGGTGCCGAACAGGGTGATCGAGCATCTGTCCTCAGTACCGGTCGGGAAAAGGTGCTTCATGAACCCATCGACTTGCCAAGCGACTCAGCTGCCACCGAGCTGGTTAGCGACACAGCCGTAGCCGAGGTCCAGAACCTCGAATCGTCCGTGGACGTTGGCTCAGTGGCGCGACAGGAGGGCGAGTTCCCTCAAAGGGCTCCCAAACACGGTAAGATTTGTGAATAGGACCACTCGCATATCTATCACTGGCCAGCTCTGTGTTCGTCCAAATTGATGTCATGGGCTAAAATACTTGTTACCACTAGTTAAAAAAAAGTTTGTGGGCTGTGGGTTGTTTTCTATGTTCTACAGGTGTGAGGTTGTTAATGTCCCTGCCCATGAAGCCTTTAAAAGCCGTGCGCGAGAAACGTCTTTCAGGGAGGTCATTGGCCGCTTCACCGAAGAAGTCGTCAAGTGTAGGGTTGTTTAAAAGGGTCCTGATGCCTCGCCTTTCCCAGAGAGTTGTCAGGGTTTTGAAGGCTTGTGGAATAGATAAGGAGGAAGGTCTACGGAAATATTTGGCTGCGTCTATTGAGAGTGTTACTGCTTTGTCTGACGGGTCTGATGATGATGGCAAACAGGGTGTCTTGAAAGACCCGTGTCCTACGTACATTGCGAAGGACACATTCAACAAGCGGGGATACAACTTTTCTGGGAAAAGGGTAGACAGTTCTTAGTCATTCCACCACGAGGTTTATGCTCACTCCTCACACTTGTTCGTGGGTGTTTGTGCAGCTGGGGCTACATCATGTTTTCGCGTTCCGTTGTCTACTGAGGAGCTTAGCGCTACGGACTTGAGAATGTTGCGGAACGTCTGTGGAGATAGGTGGTGTGCTCGGTTCGCAAAGGGGTCAGTTCAATTCCGTTGAGCAGAAAAAGTCTTCAAACTCTTGTTCAGGGGGAATGGCTTTCCGACGAGGTGGTGGAGTCGTACTTGGCCTTGCTTGCCAACGATGCATTGCCTGGGTGTCCCTCTCTTTACATTTTCAGTCAATTTTTCTATACCAAGCTCGTCCGTGGCGGCTATCGACATGATAGGGTTGCGAGATGGACAAAAGATGTGGATATTTTCTCGCACGAGATGGTCTTGATTCATGTTTATAAACATGGAGTGCATTGGACCCTATTGTGTCTCCGAGAACAACGGCTGGCGTACTACCACTCCCTCGTACAAGACGATGGCGGTTTTTCTTCCGATGTGATTGCGAACTTCACGCAATACCTCTGTGACGAAGCAGTTTGTCATTATGGTCCAAAAACGAAAGTGGATCTCCAGGAGCCCAAGGTGGTTGTTCATGGTGTCCCTCAACAATCGGACGGGTCGAGCTGCGGTGTTTTCATGCTCGCCTTCGCTTTATTTCTTGCACGCAGTTGTCCACCACCATTTCCGATAGCCCAAAGCGACATTCCAAACATCCGGCTGAGGATTGCGGTGGACATACTCCAAGGCGCTGAATGATACCACTGTTGTAAAAATACACGTAGTTTTTTTTTCGAAATGCTATAAGCAGAAGTGCGAATCTATTCCCACTCGATCTAGCACTCAGCCGTTCGAGCTGTGCTGTTGTTTTCATGAGGTGCCGGATTGCAGTGGACGTTTTGGTCAAGTACAGGCTTAGGTGTCGATGTGAATATCCCAGCCTTGTGCTGTATCAAATTTTTAAGGGTTCTTCATTTCATGGAATCTGTCATCTTTACTCGTAGGACTTTCGGCAGCGCCGTGCTTCCTTTGTTTGTTTTCGGGTTGTTCTGATTGCTTGCCGCGCAACATCAGCTAGAGGGTAGCAGCGGACGCTTACTTGAAGTAGAAGCTTAGATGCCGATGTAAATATCCCAGCCACGTGGTGCAGTTCCTTTTAAGTAGACGCTTATATATCGGTTGTGAATATCCCAACTTTGTGCTCCTTTTGTTTATTTTCGGGTTGTTCTCCTTATGTCCTCTCAGACCGTGGCAGCACCGTGCTCCGTTTATTCGTTTCGAGGTTGTGCTCCTCTTTTACTCATGTGAAAGCTATCGACGATTTATTATTGGTCGCCAAATTGTTTCGTGCTTATCTCTTTCGTTCGCGAGACTTTGTGGTGTGAAAGCCCCTCTTCCCCGCCCCACCCCGACCACCGAGCTTTCATATGTTTTGGCTCGTCCTTGTTCTGGGTGTGCCGCCCCGTTTTACCGTTCACCCCCTCTACTTGTCTCGATTGAATGCTATCTGTTGGTTCCTTATGACAGTTCCAAACTTGTTCTCCATTCGAAAACCAATTGTCGCCAGAATGTATGTGTGCTTGAAGTTGTTTTACGGATTCAGCGGTGCACTAAGTGAGCACCAATTTTGTTATCCTCGGAATACATCTCGTGCTCTCCACGGAATGCTGGATGTTGTTTCCGTATGAGAAATGCGAACATATTCACACTTCGGATACCATACATTTGTGATTGAACTGTTAGTTCCATGTGAGAAATGAGAACATATTCGCACCTTGGCTCCATGTACTTTGTGATATTTGGAAAGCCTCCGTGCACTTTACAATGTGGGATTGTATGATATTTCGCGTTCAATGACTTTTTGAAACGTCTATGTGTGCTTTGCAATTTGCCCTCGAATGAATTTCCTGCATTGAATAGTTTTTGGTACCTGTTCGTGTGCTGTGACACTTCACCTGTGAAAAAACACAAGGCAACTTGAGATGTCTTCACCTCGATGTTTGCGATGTCTCTGTGTGCTTTGCAATTTGACTTGTGCTTGAAGTTGTTTAACGAATTAAGCGGTGCACTAAATGATTGCCAATTTTGTTATCCCCGGAATACATCTCGTGCTCTCCACTGGATGCAGCTGTTGTTTTCATATGAGAAATGCGAACATATTCGCACTTTAAATGCCGAGCATTTGTGATTGAACTATTGGTTCCGTATGGGAAATGAGAACATATTCGCACTTTGGCTCCATGTACTTTGTGATTTTTGAAAATCCTCCGTGCACTTTGCAATGTGGCATTGTATGATATTTTGCGTTCAATTTGAAAAGTCTCTGTGCTTTGTAATTTGCCCTTGAATGAATTTTCTGCATAGAATGGTTTCTGGAAACTGATCGTCTGCTCTGAGACTTCACCTTCGGAAAAAATAGTGCGCAACTTGAGATGTTTTCACCTCGATGTTTGCGATGTCTCTGTGTGCTTTGCAATTTGACTTCAGATGTTTTTATCTCGATATTTGCGATGACAAGAGATATATGAATGGATATGAATCTTCTACACAGAAAGATTTGATGGCGTTTTCAACCTGTGATATAGAAATGACAAGCCAATGTCATTTTAAATCATCGCGCTGATGCACTGCGCAACTGCTTCTCCATCAAAGTACGAGTTCAATCGCACTTCTGGTGTGAGCCCAAAGCAATTCCCTCGCACTGTGCTTCACGTCGAGGAGGGGATCGAACGCACCGCCTGTAAGCACCTGCACATCACGAAACAAGAGCACGTCCCAATTGGAACATCGTTGGGTCCTTACCTCATCGACTCTCAAGATGATGACAACCAACAACGGTAGGATGGCAGGTCCACCTATCCGATGTGGATCTCATGGTGGAGTGCGAAACTCTGCTCTCAAAGATCCACACCGGGTAGAAGGTCCTGCAAGCAGCCGCTGCTTGCTTGTAAGGCATCTTATGATGTGTCAATACAACCGACATCCAGATCTGTTTGGTGAGCATCTAGTGCTACGCCAATAAGTTTCAAACACGGCAGCAAAGTCCCCTTAGAGTATTCTTTGCCGGGTCCTCACCACATCGACTCTCAAGATGACTACAACCAACAACGGTAGGATGGCAGGTCCGCCTTCCCGATGTGGATCTCACGGTGGAGTGCGAAACTCTGCTCTCAAAGATCCATACCGGGTAGAAGGTCCTTCAAGCAGCCGGTGCTTGCTTGTAAGGCATCTTATGATGTGTCGATATGACAGATATCCAGAACTGCTTAGTGAGCATCAAGTGCTACACCAATATGTTCCAAACACGACTCTTAAGTCCCCTGACAGTGTTCTTTGCCGGGTTCTCACCTCGTCGACTCCCTCAAGATGACTACAGCTGACAGCGGTAGGATGGCAGGTCCACCTATCCAATGTGGATCTCACGGTGGAGTGCAAAACTCTGCTCTTAAAGATCCACACCGGGTAGAAGGTCCTGCAAGCAGTCGCTGCTTGCTTGTTAGGCATCATATGATTTGTCGATACAACCGACATCCAGAACTCCTTAGTGAGCATCTAGTGCTACGACAATAAGTTCCAAAAACACGGCCGCAAAGTCCACTGAGAGTTTTCTTTGCCGGGTCCTCACCTCATCGACTCCCTCAAGATGACTACAGCTAACAGCGGTAGGATGACAGGTCCACCTATCCGATGTGGATCTCACGGTGGAGTGCGAAACTCTGCTCTCAAAGATCCATACCGGGTAGAAGGTCCTGCAAGCAGCCGCAGCTTGCTTGTAAGGCATTTTATGATGTGTCGATATAACCGACATCCAGAACTGCTTGGTGAGCATCTAGTGCTACGCCAATATGTTCTGAACACGACCGCAAGGTCCCCTAAGAATGCTTTTGGCACAGGAGTCATCTGACCGCCGAATGTTTGGCACTTCGTGAAGGTTGACACTTCTTGAAGGTGGTCTACCACTTCTTAAAGATGGTCAATCACCAAAGAGATCACAACCTGACATCGACCTCGATAACTGCGAATTGACTCGTTGTTCAACTAGACTCTCTCTCTCTCTCTCTCTCTCTCTCTCTCTCTCTCTCTCTCTCTCTCTCTCTCTCT